TTGAACTAGGTTGTAATGGAAAGTGTTAGAGTATTGTGAACGAACAAGTTGGTTGGTGGTTCCGTGAATTGTCGAATGTTGTGATGTTTGAAGCATGATATATCTATGTTGTTTGATAATTGGGTATACCAAATAAGTGAAACTATGTTATTGATATGAGTGTTTGACTATTTTTTTAAATAAAGAAAAGGTTTTCCGTGTGATGTAATCACGTTGCCACAGTGAGTGTGGCTAAGTGCAGTGAACGCACGTGTGAATGAATTTAATGAAATGCTAGATAAAAGTGATTATAATATGGGAGTCAGAATAGATGAATGGATGTGATTGCAATATAGGTATTGTGGTATGACTGATCAATTGAAATTTTTACAATCTTATTTCCTCTCATTCCTAGCTCATTAATCCTCTTTTGTGCCTAATTGGTTTGAATTGGATCATTTTATGATGTTTGAATTTTATTTGGGCTTTATTTAATTTTTTCAGCATTAGGAAAATTCTGATACTGTTTTGGTTTCTGGCATATCTTGAGCTGTAGAACTCATTTCATTACGATTCTTCATTTGTAGGAAAGCTGAGAGAAAGGCGCACAATTCCAAGGCAAAGATCAGAAGCCAATTTGATAAGTCTGTAATTAGGCCCTCTTTTACAGCCCATATATTCATATTTGACCTTTATTTTATTTGGATTTTACACTAATTTATATATTAATTGTGTAGTTTGGTATAAAGAAGCTGCAAGTGGATTTTGGGTGCATTCTGGGCCCAAATTGATGGAAGCTTAGAGCTTCGCAGCAGTCAGCACGCCTAGACCCATTCAACAAGCACGTGGGTGCTTCGAGCCCATGCACGGCCGTGCTCATTTGCGGGAAGCCTATTTATGAAGAGTTTTTAGGGTTTTCAAATCCTATAAAAGGAAAGATCTCAGGCATCATAAAGGGACCATTTTTACATCTTGGCTTTGGCTCTAGAATACCTAGAATACATCTGATCTCTTCTCTCTTGCGCGGGATCCTTGACACATGCTTGGTGAGACTTGGAGCTTCAATCGATCGTACTTGAAGACCGGGAACACATCTCACAGTCTATAGTTTGCTATTTCTTTTGATTATGGCTTTGTTTATGATTGCTTTAGTTCTTTTCTTTAGCATGAGTAACTAAGTCCATAGCTAGTGCTATGGGAACTATTGTTCATGAATTTATGGAATTTTGATATTTGAATTTAAATTTGATTTTCGTTTTGTGAATAGATTTTATCCTATTGCGCTTCTTTCTTAATTCGAAATATTTATATCGTCAGGCGACTGTACCTCGGTTAATTAATAGATCTATAGGGTAAAATGAGACAGGATTAGGTGGACCAAACCAATCTTTCTCTTCTAATCGTTATTAAATTAACAAGTTCATAGGTTTCTCAAGCTTTCTCAAATTGATGTCTTGCATGACCATTAGGGATATTAATTTAGAGAAAAGAATATTAATATTGCATGACCATTAGGTATTAATAGTATTCATATGAATGATTAGTAATCACAAGGAAATCAGATTTAGAGTTAAATAGAAAAATAACATAAAGGATTGAATGAGAAAACCCATATGCCCTATGTTCCTCTCAGATAAGTTTAACCAAGACGTGCATTGTATTCCTTACTCTTAGTTTTATAATTGATTTTATAAATTCTTATTTTTAATTAATCCCGTATCTTTGAAGCTTAAACAATTGAATTAGGAAATTCTTAGTAATTGGAAATCAATCCTTGTGGGACGATATTTCAGGAACTTAATTTAAGAATCCTTTATTACTTCTCGATTGGTACACTTGCCTTCCGAACACAATTCTGATGATAAGATGTCGAAACTGGGCTTGGAAAAAGTTAGAAATATGCATTCACAGTTTCTAACCTTGGTGCAATATTTGGGCCATATCTCAGTCCACAGATGTCTGTTTAAGCCCATTCTAGTTACGTTTTGAAGCTAACATCTAGTGCTACAATTTCTCTTCATATCAGAAATTGAAACGGACAGATCTTCATGGCAAAAAAATACCACACAATATCTTCTCAGATTCAGCATGGATACTGGGCAGCAATTACAAGCATAACTTTCCCTCCAAAATTCAAACTTGAACAAATAAGGATTCTAGAGATAGCTATTGAGTAGATGATTAATGTGATTGAATAATTATTAATTAGTTTTTATATTTTGACCCTTAAAAAGGCCTGTATTTAAATTAGGGCAAGAGGTTGAAAAAGGGTAGGTTGTTTTTCTAGAGGAATAATACAAGTTTTAAGGTTTTTGTCTCTTCTTCTTTGCCTCTTCTTTTCTCTCACGTTTTTACCTTTCGTTTTCCTCCATTAATGGAGGCTTAAACTTTCATCTAATCCAAGGATTGAAAAAGGGTTGCGACATTCTTGAGGATCAGTTTCACAATCATTCAACAACAAATCCGGTTTCATCTCTTCCTTCGTTTTCCTTTTGCTAATTAGATTTTTGAATTGAAGTTATTTATTTGGATTGATAATTGTGCAGTTGTTTGATTACATATTATTCGGTTGATGTATGTAATTAATTTTTGAAGGAATGTGAATTAGATTTTCAGTTTTGAGATCTAAGATTAATGGCATTGGTGAATTAAATTAACACAAATCAATTAGGTTTTAGAGGTTTCTGAACTTTGAGCGATTGTGTGTTAATCAAATGCATGAGGATCTTCATGTGAATGCTTAATTTGAATTGAGGTTTCATTCAAATTTAATGTTAATCACTAATTTGTTGGCTGATGCATCTTATTGGAATCCGGTGATAGAATGATCATAGTTCTTCTAAATTCTTGGATTAGAGTTTTCAATTCTTGTTAATACCAATCATTCATACAATTATTATTAATACCCAATAGTCATACAATATTAATATTTTTTTCTCTAAATTAATATCCTCAATGGTCATGCAAGACATCAATTAAAGAAATTATAAAGAACCTATGAATTTGTTAATTTAATAACAATTGGAAGAGAAAGAATGATTTGGTCCACTTAATCCTTTGTCTCGTTTTATCTTATAGATCCATTAACTAATCGAGGTACGGTCGCCTGACGATATAGTTAATTAGGATTATACAGTTATAAGCAATAGGATAAACAGTAATCACAAAGAAAAATTAAACATAGATTTAAATTTCAGAATCCCATAAATTCATGAACAATAGTTCGTATAGCCCTAGCTATGGATTTAGTTATTCATGGTAAAGGAAAGAACTATAACAATAATAAATAAAGCCATAGAGAAAAGCAAACTAGAATGAGATGAGTTCTCAGTCATCAAGTACAATTGCTCAAAGCTCAAAGTCCTGCGAAGAGTATGTCAAAGATTCCATACAAGAGAGATGAGATAAAAGATGTATCGATGAGCAAAAGACAAGATGTCGAATAGGATGCTTATGGTCTCTCTTTTATAGGGTCTTAAAACTCTAAAAACTTTTCATAATTAGGCTTCCCACAGATGAGCACAGTTGTGCAAGGGTATTGGCATGACCTTGCATGGGCTCGAAGCACCCCTGTGCTTGTTGAAAGGATCTAGGTGTGCTGACTGCTGCAAAGCCATGATCTTCCATCAATTTAGGCCCAAAACACACCCAAGATCCACTTGTGGCGTCTTTATACTAAACTGCACAATTAACATATAAATGAGTGTAAAATTGAAATAAAATAAAGGTTAAACATGAAAATATAGACTATGAAAGAGGGTCTAAATACACTTATTGATATGTCTATATTTTGACATACTTTTCGAGCATGTTCATACGCACTTATTATTGATTTGAATGAATTTTTACACTTATTCATACTTTTCGAGCATGTTCATACTTTGTTTATGGCTTTGTTTAGAATTACTTTAATTTCTTTCTTCAACATGAGTAGCTAAATCCATAGCTAAGGCTATGGAAACCCTTGTTCATGACTTTATGAGATTTTGATAATTAAATCTAGTTTTGGTTTCCATTTCTTATTAATGGTTATCCTACTGTGTTTGATTATGTGTTGTGAATTGGCCATTCGTAACATAACTAATTAATTACATCGTCAGACGACTATACCTTGATTAGTTAATGGATCTGTAGGATAAAATGAGACAAAGTATTAGGTGGACCAAACTAATCTTTCTCTTCCAGTTCTTATTAGATTAACAAGTTTGTAGGTTCTTCATGCTTTCTTTAATTGATATCTTGCATAATCATTGAGGATGTTAATTTAAAGGAAATAATATTAATACTGCATGACCATTGGGTATTAATAGTAATTATATGAATGATTAGTAATCATAAGAAAATCAGATCTAGAGTTAATAAGAAAAAAAACATAAAGGATTGAATGAGTAAACTCCTATGCTCGAGGTTCCCTTCTATGATTTTCACAAAGGCGTGTGTTGTGATTCTTGCTTTGAGATCTGTTGACAATTGTTCTAATTCTTGAATTTTAATGTTTAATTTCACATCTATTAAGTTCAAAAAATTAGACCAGAAAATTCTTAATAATTGGAAACCAATCCTTGTGGGCGATAATTTTGAAACTCATTTTAAAACCCCTTTATTACTTTTCGATAGGTACACTTGCCCTATAGACAAGTTTTTAGCGCCGTTGTCAGGAATTATTTTTCCAATATTAAGAAAATCTTATGTTTGGTTGATTTGAGCAATTTTTGTTTTATTTATTTTGTTTTTATTTTATAAAATTTTTAGTGTATGCTCATTCACTCCAAGTGCTCTACAACTTGTTTATTTGATCTAGAGATTGAGAGAACAACGCTTAGACAATGGAAATAAGTGAGAAAGCAAAGAATGGTAGAGGAAAGAAGTTCAATTTAGGATTACATGACGCCCACTGCTAGAGGCACTCCTGGAAGCATTGCAGCTTAAGCCGACATTGATAAATTCAACTCCACCTTTTCCCTTTTTCTGTATCTAAAAAGCTGAATGCATAGTTTGCCTCACTCCCAGCGAATTCCTCTAAGCTTATGATGGAGATATGTTGCTTCTAACAATATGAAATAGAATCCTTGTTTGAGGCATGAGAGCTATTTGGAGAGCTTTTGAGGAGTTATCCTCATCATGATTTTTTGCATGGAGACAAGTGCAGATCTTCTATAATGGTCTATCAATCACCAATAAGGCCGTAATCAATGCTGCAATAGAAGTATCCTCATAAGAAAAGATATAGATGATGCATACAAATTAATTGATGAGATGGCATCTGCTAGCTTCCAATGGCACACAACTGATTCTTATAGCATCAAGAGGAAAGAAGTTGCTTCAGTCTACCAAGCAAAGAGCAACAACCCACTGATGAATCAAATGACAGCCCTTGCAAACCTGCGAAATCTCTTACAAGTCCAGAATTTGAGCAAGATGAGGCAAACTTTATGGGCAATAATTATAAATCAGGGTGGTGCAATAACAACACAAATCCCTTGGGAAGTCGCTAAGGGAATCAAAATGCACCCTATCGCCGTTTTCACGTGCAAAACCAAGGAGAAAAGATAGAAATAAAAGAAGCTTCCAGATTTCAATCTAATTTCCAAGAATGAATGATGCAATATGTGCATAGCTCCAACAAAAGAATAGCAAAACTTGAAGCCCAAATGGAGCAACAGATTGAAAGGGAAGATAAGAGGTTCGCAAAAATCAAATTTGAATTGAGAGCCTAATCTTCTGAGATAATCTTCAAAACTTGAATCACAATTGGAGCAAATCACAAATCTCCTCAGTTAACGAGCATTGGGAACATTACCATCTCAGCCAGAACCAAATCCCAAAGAGCAAGCCAAAGCCATTGCTCTGAGGAGTGAAAAGAACCTTAAAGACATGCAGACCAACAAGGCATGCACGCTTGTGCTTACTGATAAGCACGCCATTGCTCCATCCAGCATGCCCATGCTACCTGAGCATGCATGACCGTGCACAGAGAAGCATGCCTATGAACATGTTTTCAACACGACCATGCTTCATAATGAGAAAAGTGATGATCGCTCAGATTGCATAAAGATTTGTCGCTAATTCTCATCAAAATATGCAGAACATTTATGTAGTGTAGGATGCAAGCCTAGGTTGTCTCCTATGACTTTGGTTTGAAATATGCATCAAACATGTCACAACATTAACTATGAAAGCAATTAAATAGGGGGGGTTGTATGATTCCAAATTCAATGTAAATAGTAATTAATGAAATTGTAAAACTCAATCAATAAGATGCAATAATCCTTAGTTCATTCACGTGATTCTATCCCTATTTCTCTCAACATTTAACACTCTTCCTATTCCTTTGAATTAAGTTAATTCAACAAGCGAGAATCAACCTTCAAACCCCATACGAATTTAAGCAAATTCAATGGACTCCAATCCCCTTTCCCAAGATTACGCAACCTTATAAATTAACTTAAAATTAAGCAAACCAAGTTAAGAATCTCATTAAAATGAATTAGGCTTAGTTAAGCAATGCCCCCCTCATTCAACCGTTAATTCAATTTAAAGGATTAGGAAAAAGAAATTCATGAAAAAAAGGAATTGTATTAACATTCATAACCCAAAAATTCAAGAATCCAAGTGAACTCACTAAGGATTACAAAAGATTTAGCCCTTCATCAGGATGGGTCTCACAAATACAAGATGGAAACAAAGAGAATTCAATGACATAAATGTAAAAATCAAAGGAAAGTAAAGAGAAATTGTGAATCAAACCCTAGGTTGAGTCATTGGCTGTCACCTAAAGCTACCCTAGGCTCTGGAAGTGTTCCCAAAATGTAAAAAATCTAAAAGTGTAAAAAGCTCTCTAATTCTAATTCTCAAAAATCCATTTATAGTGAAGTGGTTGTTGTCTATAGTAGCTACTATGAAAACGATACTAGCTACACGCAGCCTCCTAGTCTTGTCATTCTTCTCTGGCAGGTGATAGTGGCTACGCGCAGCGTGTGTAGCTACTATGGATTTGAAAGTGGCTACGCGCAATGCTGTATCAGTTTGACCGTTGCAGTAGTTGTCATTATGGGGTTCGAAAGTAACTACATGCAGGCCTATTGCAATCTGGGGTCTCTGTAGTGTCCACTATCACTTCTGAAAGTGATCACTTTAGTCTTCCCTCTGGATCTACCTTGCTGTAATTCCATTATCACTTCTGAAAGTGGCCATTTTCAGCTCAAATTTTCTCAAAGGCTAAAAATCCATAAAATAAGTCTAGAAATTCCTGCACAATTATTCAAATGATCAAAATTGAAAATTATATCTATGTAAATCAGTGTAAATTAACCAAAAATTAAGAAAGCTATGATATTTGACCTAAATGGAATTTTTATCTTATTTACACTTTCTAAGTTTTCTTTTTCTATTAAAGAACACTAAAAAGGCTAGTAAAAATTCAATAACATATGGATTCATCACAAGGCCATGCTTCTTCACCATCATCGCTGCCACGTGCAACGACTTCCTACTTAAAGCGTCGGCCACCATATTTGCCTTGTCAAGATGGTAAGACAACGTGAAATCATAAGACAATGTGAAATCATAGTCCTTGAGGAATTCTATCTACCTTTTTTGCCGCATGTTCAACTCTCTCTGATCAAATAGGTACTTCAAGCTTTTGTAAGCACTGAACACTTTAAACCTTGCTCCGTAAAGGTAGTGCCTCCACACCTTAAGAGCAAAAACCACTGCGGCTAACTCCAAATCATGAGTTAGATAGTTGACTTTATGAGGACGCAACTACCTTGAGACATAGGTAACCACCCTTTCGTCTTGCATTAGAACACACCCAAGTCCATGTTCAGACGCATCACAACATACATCGAACTTCTGCTCTAGATCAGGTAGAACTAACACAGGCATGAAAGTTAACTTCACCTTCAGTTCTAGAAAACTAGCTTCACATTCTCTGCTCCACTTAAATTCCTTCCCTTTACGGGTCAGCTTCGTCAAGGGTAAAGCTATTTTAAAAAATCCCTCAACAAATTTCCTATAATAGCTCGCTAGTCCTAGAAAATTGCGAATCTTCGTCACATTCGTTGATCTTGGCCATGGGCTACTGCTTCCACCCTCGAAGGGTCCACCATAATTCCATCCTTGGACACTACATGTCCCAAAAACTGAATTTGTGACAACAAAAACTCGCACTTGGAGAATTTGGCGTACAACTTATGAACGAAAGATTTGTCGCGAATCCTCATCAAAATGTAAACAGAAATTAATGTAATACTAGGATGCTAACCTAGGTCATCTCCCATGAATCATTGGATGAGTAACCAAATATCAAACATGTAGTGTGCAATGTATTCAGAAAGCAAGTAAAAAGGGGGGTTTTGTAATTTCAAGTTCAATCTACTTAAGCAGAAAATTAAATTGCAAAGTTCAATCAATAAAATATAGTAACCCCTAGTTCATTCATGTAGACTCTATCCCTATTCCTCTCAACATTTAATACTCTTCCTCTCCTCCCAGAATTGGGTTAATTTAACAAGCAAAAATCAACCTTATGTTTCCATACAAATTAAGCAATTCAATGGACTCCAATCTCTCAACCCAAGATTACGCAACCTTAGAAATAAACCCAGAATGAAGCAATTCAAGTTTAGAATCTCATTAAAATGAATTAGGTTAATTAAGCAATGTCCCCCTCATTCAACCATTAATTCAATTCAAGAGATTAGGAAGAAGAAATTCATGAAAGAAAAGAAATTATATTAACATTCAAAACCTAGGAATTCAAGAATCTATATGAATTCACTAGAGATTACAAGAAAATTACCCCTCCATAAGGATGGGTCTCACCACTACAAGATGAAAATAAAATAAGATCAAGATGAAAATCAATGAAAAGTGAAGAAGAAATGGAATTCAAACCCTAGGTTGGACCCTTGGCTATCACCCAAGGTCGACCTAGGCTTTCAAAAGTATTCTAAAAACCCTAAAATATCTAAAGGAAAAGGTTCTGCAAAAGTTCCCTTACCCTAAATGGTAAAAATCTATTTATAGTGAAGTGATCGTCGTCCATAGTAGCTACTATGCTTTCATAGTGGCTACGCGCAGTGCTCCTTGCTGTTAACCCTCTCTGGAATCTTCACTTTGGGTTCATAGTAGCTACGTGCAAGACTGGGTGACTTTGGCCTTCTTTAGAGTGTTCACTTTGGAATCACAGTGATCACTTTGGTCTGCCCTGGAGTGTTTACTATGGCCTCAAAGTAGCTGTAACACCTTATATTTCTTTCCTCAATACATGATAAATTTTCATAAAAATTAATATGGTAAAGTAAATTTTCCTTCAAAACTTTCTAATAAGGAAAAGACATTGAAATGATATAAGGTTCATAGAGTAAAATTTCATTAATTCATAAGTACTTTAGGAAAACAAAGATTCTAAAGTTTTCATCAGCAATAAAGAGGAATAGTAGTTTTACAACATTTTCAAAAGAACGCTATAGAACTGAAAATATTCATTACATAACTCAAAATAACTAAGTCCTATAGCAGTTCTCATCCATCCATGCACTATGAGCCTGGTACTATTCGTCCTGGTTTCCTGAAAAATGTTGTGTAAGGGTGAGTCTTTACCCTACCACTCATACATAACATATACATTCTTCACAAAACACATCTTATCACGATTAACGAAAAACATCATGGCATTACATATCACAAGGTTATATAAAGCATATTCTCATCTCAACGCGCATTACATTACACAGATTCACAATTTCTTTTACTTTTATCCGCGCTTACTGCGCCCTGTGGCCACAGTTATCCGATGCCTCTATCTCGAGGTCTTACACATTCATGTAAATAGTCGCCGGATGGCCCAATGCAATACGGATACAACGCATGCAATAGACGGCCCCTTAGCAAAGGTAATGGTCAGGAGTCAAGTCGAGAAATGAGTGTGTGGCCATGTGGTGATTTCGAACACAATATTCCGTGCACAATCCCGAATGTCACTCACCACCCTGCATTTCCCCAAGATATCCCATATCGTCTCCATCTTCCACTTCCCCAGTGTATCTCTGTAACTATTTACATCATATCTTTTTCCATCTCATACTCTTTTGAGCATATTCACATGTTCACATATGCCATTTA